TGAGAACACAGAATATTATTTTGGGTCAACGTTTCTTTATAGATTTGTAGTATCCTGCTTACGATAGTGTGCAGACTTTACTGTATGTAAGAACAAAACTGATGATTTGTGACATTAAAATGGTTTCTGTTCAACATAGTTGGCTGCATGGTGTACCTCTACTTCTCTTTTCCTTGGCTCCTTGGTTGGTTGGTAATTTGTGTCTACAGACCTTTATCTCTGTGTCTAATGGCACATTTCCACTACAGCGCGGAGCTCGCTTTAAGCGTGCCGAGCCGTGCAGGGCCCTTTTTTGGTTGCGTTTCCACTTAGCGTAGTACCGGCTAGCGGGTACTATTTCACAGTTTTCTGGCCCCATAAAATCGAGGTTCTTTCCGGGCCAACAACCAGGCTGAGTCGGGCTGAGTCGGGCTGAGTATGCTAAACTAGAGAGACAATCACTGGCAAGGGGGCTACAACTACAACAAGATGAACATATTTGACCGTGATTTAATTGTAATACACGTTTCAAAATGATGCCGAAGTAACAACATACTGATACCGGTTAGTAAAAACCATGAATTAATGCTTTGACAAGTCTGCAGACAGACGGCAGGCGAAAAACCTTTTAAAATGCGTGTTTTCTAAATGGAGATCGGCTAAGCTAACGCAGTGTATGCTCCGACCGTCCACACTCACAACAACGGCCTATACAGGCATAAATAAACCAGCGACTGTATTCGCCATGACACAGACAGTCTGTGGTTTGTACTTGTTTAACTTTTGTCTAGTTTCTGAACAGATATGAGGAGCTGTGAGCTTGAGTGCTAACAGCTAACGGCTGTGTTGTTTTTCTGGGGTTCTCATTGAAGATGACGTCACGGCTCCGCTTACACTGCGTTACTATAGTTACTGCCCCAGTTCCTAAACTGTAATGGAAATGCGCCATAAAGTGAGCCAGTCCTAACGAGGCCTAGCCATACCGAGCGAGGCCGAGCGAGGCTGTGTAGTGGAAATGCGCCATAAATATACTCAAATTAAAGGGCCCATGTCATGCTTTTCTGGTTATTACCCGTCCCCTTGTGTGTTATGAAGGTTTGTATGCCTGTAAACGGTCTGCAGAGTCAAAAACCCTCAAAGTACACCCTGTAGCGAGTACAACTCTAACACAGAAAATACCTGTCTATGCTGCCCCAAAACACCTCGTTGGAGATTTCTCATTTTCCATTGTTTTCTTCCTGGGTTCTGTGACGTGTGAATACGCAAATCAACAACAAATGACGGGATTGGCCCAAATGGACCAATCCGTGGAGCACCTCACACACCAGGATCCCTTGGCTAACTAACAGGGAGTCCCCATTGACTTGCATAGAGCTCCCTGAACGCTGGTAATAGACGAGTTGGGATCGCGGAGAAATACTCTCCGCAGACCCATTCTCACAGCGTTATAAACCTTTTTCTTACTCAATATCAAGCCACACTTATTGTTTTTACTTCGGTTGTGAGTGTTTGTGTGTGCTCAGGATGAGTTTTGCTTGTTCTCTCTGTATCGCCGACCCGGAAACCTGTCCGCTCCTCGCAGTAGCGAGCCTCGCAACGTCCCGACCAATCAGAGCACACTGGGCTCACAGGGAGGGGGGGGGGCAGGAGCTCCAACAAGCCGTTTAGGACAGAGAGTGAATACACATACTATCCAGAGATGATGTATGAGAAACCAATGTGATTTTGGAAAATTGCACAATTTAAATCTATTCTAGTAGACCTCAACAATGGAAATATGATCAGTAGAAATGGCCATGACATGGGACCTTTAAAACAGAAAAAGTACCATGACTGCTCATGATCATGTTTTCAGGTGATAGCTATAATAATACTTGTAATAATAAATATATAAATATATATACAGTAGCTCTGAAAATAATTAAGAGACCACTGCAAGATTATCAGTTTCTCTGGTTCTACTATTTATAGGTATGTGTTTGTGTAAAATGAACATGTTTTAATTGCATTCTATAAACTACTGACAACAGTTCTCTGTGTTGGAATTCAACAGACACTGGAATGGAATGGCTGCCATACATGTAGAGATTGGGATTTAAGAGAAATGTTGAGTGGTCTCTTATTTTCTTCCAGTGCTGTATGTATCATATTTTGATAGCATATTTAAGATTACTATACATAACAACACAACTGATCCCATAAGCCATACTATGGGGATATTTCTTTCGATATAGGTAATGGTTATCTTCGTAGGGTTATGGCTATCTTCGTAGGGTTATGGCTAACTGTCAATTACGTCTTTGAATATCTTTATAAACTGTCACAAAATGTCTGTCATGATGTCTCAGAGCTTTGATGACGCTTGTTGTGTCGAACTGACAGTCTAAAATTCAAAGACGTTTTATTTACAATGGTATCAGAGAAATACAAAAATAAAAATGAAATGCATTTGGGAACCTGGAATCTTTTGCAAATATGCTTGATTTATGATTCATGATTACCTTCTGATAATCAATGAATCCATGTATCTTTAACAGCCAGACATTACAGCAATATGACTGAGGAAATGAACCTCAAGATTAAGTGTCATATCAAATCAGTAATCTAGACTTCTACAGTTTCTTACATACTGCATGCCTGTCCTGTTCTTTGGGGAAATTATGTTTCCCTTACATTAAAAATCCAAACCATGGTTCTAAGGAATGAGGGCATCATATGTTATACAGATTGTGGAATATTACTATGATTTTAAAGTATATTGACCTGCATTTATCCCAATAGCATAATGATTTTTCATTTACTATGGATCAGATCAGCAGCACAGAGCATCAACAGCCTGTCATTACATCACTGCTTTGCTGGTGAGGGGCTGGCATACAGATTTACAACTCGGTGAGTCTGCAACAGTATCACCACCATGTTCCTACTCCAGGTTACTGGGTGGATGGTTAGATAATAATCACAGGATCGATGGTGGAGAGTTTTGGCATTAGATCAAAAGAGCTGTGCTTAGACATTTGTGTGAAACGGAAGTAGGTGAAACCCGACTGTCATTTGTGCATCAGTAACAGGCCTGCCTGCCATGATGGCTGTGAAAACGGCTGTAATTCATTAACATGGTGTGCCCTACTAGCCGGGTGGGTCAGGGGGGCGATCGAGGAGAGGAACAAAATGCAGAAAATGATGAAATAGAGTGAAAAGCGGCGGGGCGAAATCGAGCCGTCTGAAGCATCAAATTCACTCCCCTCCTTATCATAGCGGACATCTCCTTCCTCTGTACGACGAAAACGCTGTTATCAGGTCAGAAAATCGTCTAGCTTTACCGTGATCCATCTTTCATCACTGCACTTGCTACACAGGAACCCTCTCTCCTCACCCCACCCATCTCAGTGTGAGCTACGATGCCAATGCAAGCTAACGGGGATCCCATTCAGAATAATCCGCGAAAAACCGGGACGCTCATTCCGGCTCACGGAGGGCGATTTCTCCACGATCAAACATATTATCTTATTTGTGCCCGGGATATATAATGAACGGGATTGATGCACGGTGCAATAAGGAAGAAGAAGGGAGAAAAAACAGCCCTCCAGTCTCCAGCCATCATCACTACCCAGCGCACATCACCAGCCCCCGTTCAGCGCTGCAGCGGCTCCATCCATCGCTACATTTTACACACATACCTGTAAATTGCATGTCCGTCCGGCGAGATCCAGAGACGGGCGGACGGTGTCGCGGTGTGCGACGGCGATCTAATGTTTGCTGATATTTTTTTTGCTCGTCTTCTGTGCCGATTGATGCTCTAGTTTCGCCCCGTACCTACCCAGCGCTGCTAATCCACCCCACACAAAGAGCAGAAAATGGCTGCAAGTGCATTTTCTTAAAGAGACAGTCACACAGAGTGAGGGCTGATGATGAGGGGCCAGGCCCCCCGACATGTTGATTACATTATTTTTTAGCTTTGTGTTGGCAGCCTACAATTTTGATTAATTGTTGATTTGATGTTTGTACTTTTAGAGAATGTATCCTGCCTTAACAGTTTTACTTATGTTAAAAGTTGTGGGCCTATGTATGTTTGTGTGGGGAAGTAGCCTGGGATCAAGGGAACTTTGAGATATGTTGTGAAATAGGCCTGAGGGTATTTTCCTCTTAAGGGAAGTTAAATCTAAACACATTATTTATATATACTGCCATTTGGATTAAGGTGTAACTAACGCCTGATGGTGAAAGTGTTTGTTAGCTGACCTTCAAAGATATATGTTAGGTACAATGAAGTTTTAAATAAACAAAAATACTGACCCACTTGTCCTTTTATCCAGTATTGCAGGATGATACTGCACTGTAAGACTCTGGGCTACACAGATATTCGAGTATTATAATAATGAAAATGATGTAATTATTGATTCAGTAGCTGGCAAGATGTCTGGCTGTTTTATTAGGCAACTCCCTTGTTGGCTGTATGGGTGTATGGGTGCCCTATTGTACTACACTGTAGTACAATATGAAGGTGCTCATGCAATGCATCCTACTATATGTTTCTATAATCCATGGTGTTGTCTTTTTCGTTGACTCTTTCCTTGCCCACATTAAAAAAAATTTGGAGGAAATAGTAGGTAAATTGTGTGTGATGCTAGATTAATTCTTTAACATTTGTTCTCGTGTAATAAATATTCAGATCTACATTTGAATTGGTAGGGATTTTGTGAGTGTGTATGTTTCTAGGCTTTTTTCAGCATTGCAAGGCCTGTAGTTCCATATTTGGCCTCTACACCAAATGAGCAGAACGCCTGGTTCAGTGGAAGGACAGACTGAAGCTGATTATTAATCTGTTATTGTGGTACCACATACACACTACTCTTGTCCCAGTAATGATTATTAGTTAGTAGCATTTTTAGCAATCCCAATAATGTGTGATCATATCCAAACTGCATTTTTGTAGTGACTTCTGATGGAAATTGTGGTGTATTTAGCTGTTTATTGCGTTAAATATGCTGAAAACTATAATGAGGGAGGAGAAAAACATGTTTAATAAAAAAGAAACTGTTTAATTGACAGTGCGTTAAACAGTGTTAAAAAGTGAAACTTTTATATAAACCTGCAGTGTGTATGGAGTGTGTGAGCCTTCTTAGGAAAATACTGTATACAAAGAAAGAGATAAAGTGCAATATCCAGCAATTTGAAAATGGCTTGTGTTATATAATCATCTGAATGAAAACAAAATCACAGATATTTGACAAGTGATTGGTGATTAATTAATAAATTAAATAAATATAGCTATTTTCATAGGTTTCAAACTCAGATCCTATCTTCACTGGTCTTAGACTGAGGCCAGCTCATGCACGAGGAGAGCAAAGGATGGGCGGTCTTCTGGTTTCTGAGAATGAGAACATGAAAAAAAACATAATTATAAAGACTTTTGTTGCATGAATGTTGTGTACCTCAGCAGTTCTTCTAGGAAAAATGTTAAAATGTGTGCCCACCTCCTTCCAGCACCACTCCATGAGCAGGTGGACGGCGTCTGGGGCCAGACGGGGCTTGAGGAGCCTCAGGCCCATGTTCAGCGACTCCACCACTTCAACATTGCTGCGGTTGTCATAAGGGAGTCGGCCCTCGTTGTACACCTCCCACATGAACACACCTGAGCAGGGGTCAACAGAGAAACTGTTAGATCAGATGTAAACAGTTTAAAGTGATGCGGTAAAAACTAAAATCAGTTCATGTGTGCCTGGTCAGTTATTTGCATGGTTGCTCCATGCAAGCTGTTTTGCATACATTATTTTGCGTGCTTCCAAGGACTTATGTAACTTTATTTTATCATAACTGCTCGTCCACATTTGACAGTTTACCTTTTTCAATTTGTTTTGTCATCAGACACGCTCACCAATGTATTATATCTATGTATTTATTCTATTTAGGGGTAGGTGTCACCGTAAGCTCTGTTTTCTGTTTTTAAAATTAAATCAGATATCACAATCACATCTATGTCCTAAAAAATCAGTTTCCTTCTGACTGTGGTTTCAAATCATAGACTTGTTTTGTCTAGCTTTAGTGCACTATGCAACACCATGCTATCAGGGAAATCAAGGTGTAGGGCATCAGCCACCTAAACTCCTCACCAAGACCTCCGGTAAAAGCTATTCATGCAATCTCAAAAAATATAAATGTTTAAAAATGGACAAAGGAAGGATGTTATTTTACTATACTTGAAAGTCTGTGCAAAGATATGTAGTTATGAACACACCGAATGACCAGACGTCGGATTTGCTGCTGAACTTGCAGTACTTTATCACCTCGGGGGCCGACCACTTGATGGGGAACTTGGAGCCCTGTGAGCTTGTGTACTGATCATCAAACACAAATCTACAAAATGGAGCGGGGACAAACACGTTTATACAGCAGTGGATGTAAGACAACATTAAAATATAGTAAAACTAATACTGTGATCTAGACATTTAAGACAGATTTAGTGAAAAGCATACCTGGTCATGCCAAAGTCAGATACCTTCACCTCATTGTTCTTTGAAACTAGACAGTTCCTGGCAGCCTGCAGATGAAAAAGAAGCCAGGAGGATTATTTTAATGTTATGTAAATACAAAAGTGTAACATAAGAAGTGTTTATCTGTCAGGTTACCAGATCTCTGTGGATAAAGTTGGAGCTCTCCAGGTATGCCATCCCCTCACTGACATCCAGACTCATCCCCAGCATTGTTTCCTTAGACAGTTGTCCTTTCCTGGCTCGCAGGTAGTCTGACAGACAGCCGTTCTCCATGAACTCAAACACCAGACACATGGGGGAACACTGTGTGCGCACACCATAGAGCTGGACCAGCTTACTGTGGGACAATCTCCTGCGAAAAACACAGAAACAGCAGCTGAAATCTAAAATGTAAATTATTATTTTTTTGTTGCAATTTTTGGGGAATAGAAAATGTAATCCAAATGGAACTATGCAAACTAAATCTACATGTCATACTGAAACATCTTTAGGTGTAATAGTCAATACAAAAACATAATAAGTTTGTGGGTGGATCCAAACAAATGTGGGTTGGAGTTTCATATGAAAAAAATAACTGTGTTAAAGTTCATGTGCTGTGTACGTGTGTTGACATGTCATGTGTTTCATTTTGTATTTGTATTACTATTACTCCTTATTTCCCTTTTATCTTATTGTATTAATTTTACACATATCCATAGTATTATGATCAATTTTAAATCCTAGCGGGAAAGTGTTACTCTACTCCCTTTAGGGGTTCTTACCTCTCTGCACAATACATGCTGTGTTTGTTGTTATAAACTTCTGTAAAATCACTTACTTTGTGCTAATAAACGTTATGGAGTGCACTTACATCATGACCCTTGCCTCCTCTTTAAAATCCTCGTCTGACATGCACTCTTCTCTTATCATCTTCACTGCCACCTTATTCTCCCTCCATCTCCCTTCCAGCACAAGCCCAAACTGTCCGCTGCCTATCTCCTGACCCAGGGTCAGCTCTGCAGGGTGGATTTCCCATTGGTCTGTTGAGAAGCAAACAGGCGGAAAACAACAACACTTATAATCCTAAAATCAACAAACAGGTTAGATAGACTTTTATTCTTAAAAAAGTACAAAAGTTACGCTGCATTACGATGACCATTCCTGAGCTAATCCATTAGCTGCTGGCTTTTAGCGTGCAACACTGTTATTTTGAAATATTAAATGTCAAAAGGAAATTGAGCCGATTTAACAGCTTATGTGTGATTGATATTGTAACACATGTCAAAATAGCTGTTGTAAAATCATTATTCTACGGCCTCTCATGGCTAATTGCAATAATTTGACATGTTTTTACAAATACGTTTTCACTGTTTCTCTAAAGCTTTAAGGAATTGTATGGAACCTGAACCATTAATGGAGCTACAAGCTCATTATCTTTGGTAATAAGTATTAAGAAAAATAAAGAAAACCTGCTTTGTATTTAATGAAATAATTAGGATGGGTACTATAGCAGGCTGTGCTGTGTCTGTTTCTTTTTTTTCTTTTTTTCTAGTTTGTTGTTAAAATAATAACAATACACTTATAGGAAATAAAAAGTACACAATGATTAGCTTTTTGTGTTATGATCAAATAATTCTGAGTTGTTGCAGAACACCAAAGAGTCAAAGGGAGAACTGAACACACCCTGAGTATTCTTCTGTGATTACCACAAGAGGTCGGCAAAAACAAGAACCTCAGCATTTAAGTCATAATTGTTTTGAGCTGTAGTTTACCCAGCAGTTTTCACAACAGAACATCCTCCTACCTTTGGAGGGATCAGCAATGTCCGGAGAGCAGCTTCCATCCTGAGAGACAGGGTGTCTCAAACGTGTTATCAGGCCTGCCACACAGATTATAAAATCTTTTTACAAAACAACTAAGGGAAACACATTATTTTGACAGTTGTTATTATGTGTATGAAACTTCCTTTTGGAAATGTATCTTGTTTTTATAACTGTTGAATGCAGAAAGCCAGCAAACTTACCAGCAGCATTGTGTTGGTGGTAGTGGATGAGCTCAGGAATGGTGGTGAACAGGTACTTCTCTGCCAGGTAAAATGCAGCCTCTCCCCTTTCTGTTTGTCTAATATGGTAATGTATAACTCTCGGAGTCTTCTCACCATTAGACCTTGAGGAAATAAAGAGATGTTTTTTTTTTTGTCACACCCAATTTCCCAAAGTGGGAAATGTTCACAACAACTTACGACAAACAGCACAAGGCGTGGCGAGATATTATTAGATATGCTAGAACATGTAATTATTTATGCAAAGATTCATGTCATCAAATATATCAGTATATTGAGCATCATTATTATCAATAGATCAAATGACATTATTTATAGTTAAATATGCATTAAGGAGGATTACCCAGGGGCTTTGGTGAAGACTGAAACAGTGTAGACTCCCACATGACTTGAGTCACGCACCATAAATGCACCTTCTTTTCCCTTAAAAGTAGAAAAATAATAGAAATGAAACAACAAATGTAAATTGTTAGACATATGAATTGGTTGTTTGTTTAATCTGCAGCTAATACCAGCAGTCATTTTTATGAATAGATGAAGAATTGCTGTTTTAACTCCAGCTTGCAAAATGAGCAAAGCACAACAAGGCAGGAAATTGGAGGAAAGACTGTGGTTGTTGCGAGACATCTTTTTACTTCCCATGTCTTCTCACATTCTTGATGTGCAGGTGCGTTTGCATTATTCTTTGCAAAATGCAATAATGCCGTGGGTGGCACAGTCACAGCTAAAGTGCACTGCGTCACGGGATGCAACATGGTGCTAATTACCATTATAACTTGGAGCATGTTTCTTCTGTCAAAACATGGCCGCAAGCATAAACAAATGAAAATGGAATAATTATTTGATTCTTAAACACTGACAATTTGTTTTACCTGTTTCACTAATAAAGTCTCTGCTTCCCCTCTGGTCATGTTTTTATTGTACCATCTGCGAGAAAACAAATGAACCAGAAATAAATTGATCTTATAAACGGCATAATGGCTTTGCAGATGCCCACATTTTAAATTGAAGCAACGAGCAGAGAAATAAATCAAACTCACTCAAATCTCTGGAAGTTGTTGCCAGTTTTTTCAGCTAGGTAATTACTGGGTACAAAGCCAGTGTTGCTGAAAAGGTGTAAGGAAAAATGATTCGTTAATCATACACTCATTATCATTCTAACTATAAAAAGGGGAATTATTCTGATTTGTAACTAAGCTCAAGAGGGGCATTTTTATGTGGCTTACCCCCTTCCATCCTGCACGGCCCACCACTTCGAGGTGGAGCTGTTAATCAGGGTGTACGCCTGGTCCTTCTGAAGGAACAACTCATCGTTTCTGACCGGAGTGTAGTCTTGCAGGGCAAAGACCATTCTCTGATCTGCGTCATGCAGTCCCATCTGGCAGTAATAATAAAAGGAAATGTATCCAAGTGTCCAAAAGAAACTGATTGAAAGACTGAGCTTAATGAATTTCAAAGTAATCAATTATTTAGTTTAAGCAACATATATTTTGAGGATGAGTATTTAAAATTAACACAAAATGCTTTAGCTGTTTATCTTTTTCTTAAAAAAAAAATGCATGTCAACAGACAAAAGAAACAGACTCTCAGAAACGAAACAAAAATCCTCACAATGCTACTTGGGTTTGTTGAATGTAATAATTACCATGTTGTGTTTTACAACACACATTTATTATACAGGAGGTCAAGCAATTTAGAAATACAGAAAAACAAACCAATATGCAATTGGTAAAGTAAACCCAATGAAAATCAAAGACATTACTTTGCCTATCCCATGTCATTTGAAGAGAACAAACTAAAACAAGAATAAATCATTGGCAGCACATGGTCTTCATGATTCAAAATGGTACCTCTGGATCTGGGAGTTGAGGAAGAGGCTTTTTAGAAGCTGTTGAATTAGAAAAAGGACATTTGAATGTATTTAGTACATCCTAACACAAATAAATTGTAGAATGCTAAGTATGTAACACTTCTAAATGTAGATCAAGGTGGTCTATATAAGGGCCATGTTGAGCTTCAAATACGCATATGCAAAACAAGAGAAGGGAAGATATAATACAAACCAAAACCCCATGGGTCATACACATGACAACCTGTCGCCAGTTTTTCTGTTTGTTGGCAACATTTCCATTTTCCCTCCATCCAGAAGTTTGGGTGGTATTTTTCAACCAAACTGTTATGCTTTGTCTCTATATCAGAGACAATTAAAGAAATACGGTTTAAGTTTACATCTTATGAATTTTAATCAAGTGTTCACCATAATGGGTTGCACCGTCATTTACTGAAAAAACTGAAACGTTTACTTTGTATTATGTCAACAAATTTCACATAACTGTATGAGGTTAGTTCAAAGCAATAATATTAAGTTGAAGCTTTTTAAACTTAATATTATTGCTTTCAACTATCCTAATGTGAAATGCCTTGACATAATACACTTAATTGGAGTCAATTTTTCAGTTTCTTCAGTGTTGTTGTCTGAAACAGGATTTTGTTTACCCTCTTTGAGAGCTTTGACCCATCTCTGACGGCAATCATTGTCTGGGGCAAAAACGTATAAGTAGTGGTTGTTGTGAAAAACCTGAGGAAACATTTGAATTTGAGAAAATAGTATTTTTGTTCTTGTGTTTTGTACTACTACATGCTTAGTTATACATCATACTTGCTATATATAACACTTGAAATATTCTGTATAACCTCACCTGAAAAGGGTACTTGTAATTGCAAGGTATTGGGGAATCACTACACACAATCTCCACACACTTAATTCTGGACAACTCAATGCAACCTTTCTGCAAGGGCTTTTTCTGAAAAGAATAAAAACATCATCTTAACTTTATGTGTGCAAATAATAGCTGATTTCCCTGAAGCACAATTTACAGACTCAGCCTCCAGATTGTAAATTCCACATTTAAATCCAGATTACTCATGGGTTAAATGCATACTTACGCCATGGCGGCATTCAGAATACTTCAGCTCTTGGGTGTCCAAAACAAAATACCTCTCCTTGTAGTTGCATGGTGAAGTTCTCTTCTTTTGTTGAGACTTTTTAATCATAGTTCCATTCAAAATCACCCTGGGGAACATGGTAACAGCTATGAAAAACACTGTGAGAAACTGTGCTGGTTTTTGCCGTGCGGAGAGTGATTTAGTGCCTAGCAGTGAAAAAAAAAAGTGTGGATTAACACTTGCCGTGGAGTTTCCGGAATAAAGTTGTTGCACTAGGTGAACCACATCCTTACGGCATGAAATGGGTTGTGCTTTTGTATACACACACACACACACACACACACACACACACACACACACACACACACACACACACACACACACACACACACACACACACATTACACACACACATTACACGCACACACAAACCATACAAGTGCTCACATGAACTTTCACTTTAGATGTTGCAACAAGTCAGTGTGTTTGCAATACAAGAATTCATTTTTGTTCTCAGCACTTTTGAACCTTTTCCACCAACATTTGAATTCTGATGCTGGGACAATGTTTAAACAAAATGTGAAAATCTAACAGGGGTGTTAAGTCAACAAAATATTTACGCTAGATTTCCCTAAAAAAAACATAATTTATTGATCAATTCAAATATACTAGAAAACAAAATGACTTGGGCATTTAAACTGAATATTAGAATCCAGGCAATACAAGGTAATTATTGCATTTCTGCATCAATAATAAGGATTTTGAATAGGTGTTTAGTAGTAAATCCTGTTGTTTTGCCTTAATATAATTTGATTAACCCCCACTGTCTATCGCTGCTTTTGTAAAGCGACATACATTGAGACATAATATAGGTGATTGTTTGGTTATGTAAGGAAAATTGTTGATTATCACTTCAAACAACAATGGATTTTTACGCTGTGAAGAAAACTTTTTGAAAGTCCCGCTTTATTTAGTGACACTTTTACGGTCCCCTCACCTCCGTCAAAACCTTCACAGTTTATCCTCATAAATCATGGAAGATTTGATCGATGCAATAGCACCACCATAAGGGCATTTAAAATAAGATAAAATTGATGTTTATTAATCCCTTTGGGGAAATTCAGGAGTTTAAAGCAGCAACAGAGTGAGATTGAGAGTGAAAAGCAGGACAGTACAGATTGGAAGTAACTGTTAAAACAAGAAATGAATTAAATGGCCTTATATATATAAAAAAAATCCTACCAATTATATACAAGTTGGAAATCAGTGTCCCAACACTTTCAATTAAAACTAAGTACAATATAAGGTAAGAGTAGTGACAAAAATTGGGAAAAGACAAGAAAAGGTAGAAAAAAACGAGATCTTCTAAAACAGGTTGAAGCTTACGGCGGCGCCAGGAGAGTAGTCTAGCCTAAATCACATTTTTTTTGATGAAATTGAGATATATGTCATTAGAAGGGGTACAAATATTTGTATATTTTGGTAAATATATGTTTTGTAAAATGTTTAATTACCTTACTATTACAGTGTGGTGCGACCAAAATCACATAAAAAATGAATGGTCTCCTGACTGTTTTCTACACTTATTGTGAAGAAATATTATTTTATATATGTCTGATGATGTTTTCTTGTGTAAAATATATAAAAACGTCACTATTATTATAACTGTTACTATTACTATCAGAGTTTATGTGATACATCACACATTAAGCTTTTGGTTATCCACACTCCAGCTCAGTAGGTGGCGGTAATGAGCCTCATACGATAGGTGGCCGCCCGCCATGAAACCATGGGAAGAACTAAGAAGAAGAAGACGTTCAGCCAATGACAGAACCTCCATGTCAGTGAACGTAAGGCTAGCTAAAAGCTACATGTTCAATTTGATAACTTGGTGACATTTAATACGTAAAGTCTACTTCCAGCAACTGAGCAGCCATTTAAAGGGTTTGTACAAGTGTTATCGATGTTTTCATTTCCTTCATTTGTTAGAGTGTGATACCGCAGTCATTAAGCTAGTGAGCAGAGGTTAGCACAAGTACTGTCCACTGCTAGCCTGCATAGCTAGTTAGCTAGCTACGATTTTTCTCTAGATAGAAATGGTTCAGCTAAAGATTACGTCTGGTTGCTAATTTATGAGCAACACACTTACAATGTTAACACATGTTTAGCTAGTGAATGATAATATCTGCTCACCAATTGTTGAGACAGTTAGTCGCGAACGTTACTTGCGCTGTTCGCTTGTCACGTTACCAACCACTAACAACTTGCTTTTAGCATTATCACATTACATTATATGGAAAGAAGATCTCGACGCTGCTGCGAGTGGAAGCAGCCATATGTTGCACTGATTGATGACAAAAACGTGTACAGAGAAGCTTTATCGAGGGTTGGAAACTAGTGGTTGAACATAATTATGAAAAGGCTATATTGTTAAGATGCGTTTACTGGTAACGTTACAATTAAACAATATCATTATTTTACTCCACACCATGTAGGGTAGTTTGGGTTATTCTTTGTTTTTTACAGCTGCAATTACCGGTTGGTTTAGAAATGATTATAATTCACATACAAAACAGGAGAAGCCCATGAAACGCATCGCATCACTGTTAATTAAAAGACCCAAAATGAACGTTGTATAAACCACTGGACTGGCCACAGCAATAACTATCAAATAAAATACTGATATCAATACTCTGAGAATTGAATATCGCAATTGTCTGTAATTATGTTGTGTTCTTGCTACTCACATAATGTTGTAGTAGACAATAAGCACTCGACTGTTGCACAGGATATATGCACTTATGAACATTTATTTGCATGTAACTTGGAAAACAGCCTTTTTGACATTCTTTTCGTTGACGTTTCAGGCCAGCATCATGGGTGAACCACAGCAGGTTAGTGCCCTGCCTCCTCCACCTATGCAGTACATCAAAGAGTACACGGATGAAAACATTCGCAATGGTCTGGCTCCTAAGCCACCTCCACCCATCAGAGACAACTACATGATGTTTGGCAACCAGTTCCAGTGTGACGACCTCATCATCCGGCCACTTGAAAGCCAAGGAATTGAAAGGCTCCATCCTATGCAGTTTGACCACAAACGGGAGCTTAAAAAGCTCAACATGTCTATTCTTGTGAACTTTCTGGACCTGCTGGACATCCTCATTAAAAGCCCTGGCAGTATAAAGCGTGAGGAGAAGCTGGAGGACTTGAAGCTTCTGTTTGTTCATATGCACCACCTGATAAATGAGTACAGGCCACATCAAGCCAGGGAGACGCTGAGGGTGATGATGGAGGTGCAGAAGAGACAGAGACTGGAGACAGCTGAGAGGTTCCAGAAACATCTGGAGAGGGTGGTGGAGATGATCCAGGGGTGCCTCGCCTCTCTGCCTGACGACTTACCACAGATAGAGGGCCTGGATGGTGCTAGTGATGGGACAAGGAGTGTGTCTGCAGCCCCTAGTGTGGTTTGTTCCTCTGGACAGGCCCCCAGGCTGAAAACAGAACCGATGGATGTAGAGGAAGCAGGGGCTAGCTGTATGGCAGCAAGTCACCAGGACAAGAGCGTCCCTGCTGCAAAGAGGGACAAAATGTGGGACAAGGATGCTGCCATGTGCAGTATTATTGATGAAATCGCTTAAGTGTTCCGTCGAGTAGTCGTGCTTTTTTTCGACACCAAAACTGTGTTTTTTTTGTATGCTGTACTTTGAGCAAGTATATGAAAACGTTTGGTGTGTTTTCACTTGGACTGCAATCCTAACTGGAAGTGAATGGTGTTTTATTTAAAAGCCATTATGTAGATATTATTAACAGTTTCTGTGTGGATATTGAGCATTGTAAATATAAAGCAGACCAACTTGGGTGAGAACTTTCAGTTTTTGTAATAAAATCAATAAAGACAATTGCAGTGGGAGTGACATGCTGTTTTCATTTAAACTCAATGTTTTAAGAGAAGATGGTTATATAGTCAGTCCTCCTAAAGCCCTCCCCTTTTTGCATTTTGTTAAAGCACTTTTATAATGTGAACAGTGTTATGTTGCTTTCTTCATGGAACTGTTTTCATTTCAACACAAAGCCAAATCCTTCCCGGGTACATTAAAATATTAAAAAATACCTCCTTCTTTGACTCCTGTAAGAAATGATTTATGGGAAAAAAAAGCTTGCACACTAAAGCTAATTCAAACTTAAAGTGGCAAAGTGAAATATTTAATAAAGAATCATAAGAAGACATCATTGAATATAAAATAATAACAAGAGCAAGCAAATATGTAGTTAGAGAAACATTTAAAAAAAATGCAAAAGCAATAATAGTAACACATTTAAACAAAAGTTAAGTAAATCATTTATTAGTAAGTCGCTGTAATAAGTGTTTAAGCCCTGAATTATATGACAAGACCTATGGTATTCAGTGTGCTTTTTCCACAGGTGGGGAGCATGGAAGACAAAAGTTGCTTCACCTCACTTGGTTTTGATCCTGGAAACATTCATTAGACCTTTGAGATGACCCGAGGGATATGGATGCTACATTATTTACAGGTAAATAGGACATGTATTTAGGCCCAAGACCATTTACTACTTCAAAGACAAGTAACTGATTTAAAAAAAAATGAAAATCTATCCTTTTACATACAGAAATGATTCATTGACTGGATAGATGTGCTCCAATGTTGTGTTCCACGTGAGGTAAATATGTTATGTGTTTCTCTATGTACATACTACATAAAGGTCCCACCACCTGACATGCAATGACTTGCATAACAGATTTGCAGAAGTTTATCTATATCATGAGTAAAACTGCAAGAAACAGTAACTCAGAGCATATTGTTTGCACCTCTAGGCTCTGTCAGCTCTTTCTAGCCATTCTACACCACGTGGCCTAATTTTTCGGGTATATAAGCAGAATCTGGGGATGAACACCACTGGGTTTATGTCATGAAACCAGTGACATAACCCCCCCCCCCCCCCTGCGATTATCCTCTGCTGGGATTCCCTACACCGCGACAGGGTATTTTCCATATAGGCCTACTGCACTCTTGACTTGAATTATAAAAACTACCGTGATTACATTCACGACAATATCAGTTTACAACATACCTCCCAGATGTGTTAATTCTACCGAAAGAAATCCAATAACTTTTGTCGCAGGTATTATGTTATGAAACTCGGCATCCTTGGTTTCACAACAGGGCAGAGAGCCCTCCTTTCATCCAATCGGATGGCGCGCTGCTGCGTCACGTGGTCTTTATTTATGTAAGTAATGGTGTAACAGTAACCCAGTTTTGTGGCCGTGGATACGTCGCTACAGGGGTTAAACGTGCACACGGACTACTAAAAAGAAAGACTACTAATATGAAAATATTCTGATGTGGTTCGCGTTGCGTTTGTGGAGTTCGGAGTGGCGAGGAAAGCGGCGCATTGACCTGCAAGCTGAGTCGGGTTCGAGCAGATGTGATCGAAGAATTAAGGGACACATTAACTGGATCGTTAGCTGTCAGTCTGTTATTTAAGTGGTGCATGCAATACTATTTCACAGACAAGACTACCAGCCCTCGTCGCTTTGCCAAAAAAGCAACCTATTTTCCCGTGGGACGTTTTTTTTCCGGTGACATAACCCAGCCACCATGGATATATTGGAGTGTCCGCTCTGCCTTTTCCTGATGTGCGAGCCGGTGACCATGGCGTGCGGCCACACGTTCTGCCGGAGGTGCGTGGGGGGCTACCTGCCGTCCAAATGCCCGGTGTGCAAAGAAAGGTTAAAACAAAGAGACGTGAAAAGCATGAAGAACAACATCATGCTCATCAGCGTTATCGAGAAGTGCTGCCCCGACGAGACAAAGACCAAGTGCCAAGTACAGGAGAAGCTAAAATCCAACGACTTCACGGAAGCTTTACGCATCGCCAACGAGGGGTTAAACTTAGGTAAGGGACACATGCACAACACCATAGCAACAATACAGTGCGTTTGTTGCTTTTTGGTGTCAACCTAAGCCTGCGGCACTGCTTGTATTAACAATTTCCCAGGATTAAGTAAGGAGGCAGACAGTTCAGAGTCTTACTTTTACGCACTGCTCACAGGTTTGGCTTGTGCCCAGTGCTGGTGACAGATGCATCCCATTCTGCTGTCCAGTGACTCCAGTCTTAATTTGCACAGCAGTGAGACACAGGAGGTGTTATGACAGAAAACAGAAAACTTGGTGGGTCAAACACAGATCCTGATGCCTTGTATTCACAATATAAAGCTATTGATGACCTAAATATATAACTGGGTCAGTAAACAAGTATCCAAATGCCCCCCTTTCCAGAAGATACACAAATTTGATGTGCTGCATAAGAAGGATGCACTGGAGAAAGTTAGTCAGCATCAGTCTGGTCTAACTTGTCGCCTGTGTGTGTCAGCTGTCACATTTCTGTGGTCATATCATGGTTGGAAAATAAGGAAACGATTAGGAGGACGTGATGTAGTATTGTTATTAGATTTATAGAAACACCCCTGCAAACAGAGGACATTATCTTCACAGTTACTTATCCTCCGTCTGTTTTGACCCTATTTTCTCCATGCAGCAGCAGCAAAAGGTAAAAGACATCTTCTGCCCTATATGAGTGTATCTTGTCCTCGGGATCATGGGAGTGTTTGTGCTTCGGTGAATCGGCCTTCTGTTGGATGACCTACCTGTTTGCCATCTTGGCAAACCCAATTAAATGCTGCTGCTTCCCTCGCTCCATCCCTCTTTAAACTTGTGTAATAATCCCCGCCGGGATGATTCGATGTTGACATCATGTTATTCTCTCGCCATTGGATTTTTGAGGTTGTGCCTTCACTTTCTGATTTATTATTGCATAAAGTGGGCATTGTTAAAAGGCTGTCTGTAATTAAGGCCTATGCACAGTCAATGCATAAAGGCTTGACACAACAACTTTATATAATAGTAACTCCATAAACCTTGAATGCACACTCATGCACAAATGTTTTCTTCCTTAAGACACAAGCACAATTAAACATAACCATTAAGTGATTGTGCATATACAACATATTTGAGATTTGAAAGTGTCCTAAACATATGCATTACAATCATGTGAGCAAATCTTTTCATTCTTTTGAATTTTGCACATTTCAGTATAACACTTCCTCCTTATTCAAAATGTGCCACTTTAAAATATGTTGTACTGTATTTTTTGTCATATTTTCACTGTACTTATCTTACATTTCTTGTATATTTATATTCTGTGTAAATATGTCTCTTTTTTTGTTTAAAGTCTAAATAATAACTATGTGCAAACCTACTTGGCAATAAACCTGATCCTGATTCTGTAAAAGGAATACAAATGTTGAATGTTTGTATGTAGAAAGGCATGTAAATATAGTCTATAAGCCACAGCTCTTAAAACCCTGTTCAAATGAGCCTATATAATCTCTTTATTTTACTCTCTCTTTTGTTTGTTTTTCATCCTCAGTCCCACATGATCAGAGTTTGAAAGTGTACCGAGCTGAAGCTAACTGGGGCCTGATGCGCTTCTCTGATGCTCTGACAGACCTCGACTACCTCTGCTGCCTTCGTCCTAACTGGACTGAGGTGAGTGACTTTGACAGTGTTCAACAGATACACTAGTTCCACTTGTATAATCTGTTTTTGAAGTTACCCATTAACAACACCAATTTAAGGGCTTTACTTCAGTTCAGCCCCCTGTGCAACTCAATGCTGAATCTCACCAGAAATGCACTGTTGGTTTTGTAACATGCATGTAACAACACACACATAACCACAAAGAAAGAGGTGTGGGCCCTTGTATTTTTAGAGTTTAATCTAAGCGTGCTAAGCGGTTTTCTCTGCTTGTATTGATGTTATGTCATTAACAAAGTTATGCAAACAGATTCTTATGTCATTATGTCATTCAGCCACTGGGTGGCTCGCTGCATATGCAACAATGATCTCTGTAGGATATTCATTTATATTGTTTTTTTGAGAAGTGTGCAACACATTTCTCATCCCATTTCAAATGTCAAAACATTTATCTCTAGCAAAAATAGGGGATTATAAATGACATTGGGTTATTGATGACTTCTTTCACTCATACAGGAAGTGGTGTGCTGATGTCCCTTTTCTGTTTGTGCAGGGCTTTCTTCGTAAAGGGAATGTTCTGCTGGAAATGGGTCAGCAGACAGACGCCCTCATCCAGTTCCACCGTTGCCTAAAACTCCAAGCTGACTTTGCCCCTGCGAAGAGCCAGATCAAGAAGGTGTGTTGATTTTAGTAACCGCTCATCAAAGGGTCCTTAATGGAAAGTAACACCAAGACTTAAATTGGAATATATTGGATCTAATATTCCAAAGAGCTTAGGTAGCATTTGTATATAGTGATAAAGTGTGTTGTTTTATTTGTTCTTTCTGTGAGAATAGCAGCAGTGCCAGATTCAGACTGACACATGCACACCTCATGCATGCCTATTAGGTGATCAGTTACCTTCCATAAGTTGTTGTTGTAAGAATTGATAAACCTAAAGGAGATTAGCGTTTCAATGTTTTTATTTGGCCACATCATGGTTCAATATGCTGCTATTATTATCATTACTATTAATCAGTGTTTGGGAGTAACTAGTGGCACATTTAAAATGAAACACATGCCATTTCATCACTTACTGATGAAGAAATATGTATATCCTAAATATATCCTTCACCGTTTTAAAGGGGCCCTATTATGCAAATGTTCGGGTTCAAAGTTGTATTTTGTGCCTCTACTGTGACATGTGTTGTTGCTTTAATGTTCAAAATGTTTTCTCATACTGCCTGTGTTACATAGTGTAATTATGTTACGAAAGTAAACAAGGGAGTCAAATCGAGCCGTTTCAGGCAGGGGGGGGGGGGAGTGTGTGGGAGAGAAACTCCCTCTGGAGGGAGCTTAGGGAATTTAGCCTTTGCAGAGCGTTTGCATGCACACACGTCTATATAACACACTACAAGAAAGGGAAACCCATAAAGCATAATATTCAATTCAATTTTTTAAATTCAAAGGTTTATTGTCATATCGTATACACAACTACGGTGTAGCATGTAATGAATGAGAAACTTGGGTCACAGGTTCCTCAACAATGGAAATTCAAGACATAAAACACATTAAAAAAACAACAACAACAATAAAAATAGTGCAAGCTCAGGCATTAAGTAGTCTTATGGCCTGTGGGATAAAACGGTCTCTGAGTCTGGTGGTTTTAGCTGTTGCTTAATAGAGCTCCTTTAAGGTTTAAACTTGTGTTTTAGGACTATTCAGTTTTATAGCCCAGTTCAAAAATACCTGTTAGTGAAATAATCAAATGTAAGAAGTTACATTACTTTCACAACTTTTGAATTCAAACAGTATACATTTAATACTATTTAATTGACATTCATTTTACATGCAGGGTGCATCAAATGTTTGCAAATATGTTTTTTTACATTTTTGTTTTATTTGATTTGGTGTTTAACACTGGGTAAAACAAATAACACTTTTATATTCATACCTATTTTGTGACTCATTTTTTATCATGACATCTTTCATATGGCAGATTCTGGAGGCAGAGGGACAGGCAGTGCCGGAGGAGGGGTCCTGCATCTTGCAAGTGTTGTCCGAGTACCTGAAAGGGACCTGCCCCATTACCAGCCTCAGTGGCTCCCAGGGGCCAACTCACCCTGACAAACAGGCATGTGGGGACGATGGAGAGGGAAAAGGGAGGAGAGAGGCACACGAGGTAAGCTAAGAGAGAATATTAACAGCTCTTATGTGCACTTTAACTTATAAGCATGGAAGGTGTGAATGCAAATACATACATATAAAAATGAGTCAATACATTGGCACAAGGACTTACTTTGCCATCAGCAAACCCTTTTAAACTGTGCAATTCAGCATTCATTTTTTCCTGATACTAATACACCACTGTATATTTTGTGATATACATGTTTAGATAACATTTTAAATTAAAATGTACTTCATTTGATTTGATCATTTGTTGGGCATTTCTACGTTAACTGCTAATGATTATATATATATATATATATATATATATATAAGTCTTAATTCTATTATATTTTATCTTTTTTTTATGCACATTCTTACTTTCTTTTATATATTAATTTAGTTAAATATATATTTTTTATTCTTCTTTTCACCTTTTATTTTAGTCACATAAAACCTAATTTCTTTCAAAATAAAAAGGTATTCTGATCATATCTCACCATATCATAGGATTATCATATCCTAACTAATTATTATCTGTGTTTATTATTTTATTGCACATTCTTACTTTAAATCCTTCTGTTTTTAAACATTTGTATTTTCTTCTTTTACTTCTTTTTGTATCTTTTATTTAAGTGCAACAAAACCCAATTACCTAGGAATTTTCTTTTTGATTCTGATATTTTAACTACTAACTATGTGTGTTTAGGGTTCCAAGGTGAAGTATGATACGGGTACAGAGTGCTGCCTCAGCCTGTGCCAAGCTGTCTCCTTCCTCCCTGCTGCTGAAGAGGACGAGGAGATGATGATGAGGAGGGAAGATGGGCATGGCCAGGGTACACGCACACACACACAGCAGTGTACACACAGACACACCATTATGATAAATTGTCTGTCATCTTCATCTTCATTGTCCTCATCATGAATCCTCTTTGTCACTGTTGCTACAAGCAGCTTTGCGGTAACACCCACCAGATGCTTTGAAATTGCATAATAACCATTAGTTCTTCCTCAGCTGGGCATCATAAAGCTCTCTTTGTGTTTCAGGTGAAAGTGGTCACAGCAGGGAGAAAACTCTGAGTGTTCTCACCGTGTCAGACTTTGAGTGCCCTCTCTGCATCAGGTCGGTGTTCTCTATTCCCTCTAATCAATAATGCATTGCTGTCTTAGTGTCATAAATCAGGTTAATCCTATTCTCCTCTCTCTCTGGTTAATGTTAATCACACATACAGTATGCTCACAATCACTCACTAGACACTTTACCAGCAGCACAAACATCCATCCTCATCCTGGTTGATTCAAATTCAGTTTTTCTCCTCTGAAGGTTGTTTTATGAGCCGGTCTCCACTCCCTGTGGCCACACCTTCTGCAAAAACTGCATAGAGAGGAGTCTGGACCACAACCTGCGCTGTCCCCTCTGCAAACAGCCCCTACAAGAGGTGACTATCAATTCATCACAACTACGACTATCTCAGACCCTTCTTGGCCATCATCCTTGCAATTCCTCTTCCTTTGTCCACACAATTGTTTTAAGTCCGATTAGCAACTTGAAACACAGGAATTGAGTTGTAGTTATACTGCTAATCTCTACAAATAGATATACTAAAAAATAATCAGCATCAGCATTAATACTTTCATTAATACACCACAGTTTATTTTTTCATTTTTTTCACAACATTTATGGTTGTTGTATATTGTAAAATGTGCACATTTGTAATTCAACTTCATTAGAAATGATTGTTTACAACTATTTTCATTTCATTCTATTTTATCTTTTACTACACATTTTGAATCTACCTTCTTATTTGTATATACAGTTTTTTATTTTATTTTACTAAATTGAATTTTGTTGAGCAACTGTTAAAAAAAACAATTTGCCTCCGGTTTAAGTAAAGATTCTGATTCTGATCAAGCTAATAAAAACCTTTGTCCAATGCCTCTTCTGCTCTCCATTAAGACTGTGAACCTGCATGCCTGTATTTCCTGCTCAACTGGATTAATCAGTACTTGTCCGACTACAAAAAAACTAAAAAAAAACGCCCTGCGATACATGTATCTGTGTTGTTGCCTTCAATAAATCTATTTTTAGACATGATAAATAACACTGTGTTAATCACCATTTGAATACATGTATCCACTTGCATACAAAGCTGAGAACAAAATCTTATATCCATATTTTAAATTGCTTTGCAGGACATCATTGCACCAAACTATATATTTAAATGCTTGGGTTTGTTCTTTGTTGCAGTACAAAGATAACCATTTTTTACTATACTATTATGTATAATTGGTTATGAGCGTCATCAAATTGTAATTATGGCTGATTATGTTCACTTTTCTCTTCCCAGTACTTTAAAAACAGGAAGTACAACCCCACGGTTCTGCTTCAGGACATCATGACCAGTCTTTTCCCTTCGCAGCTGGCAGAGAGGAAACAGGTCCATGAAACGGAGATGGCTGAACTGTCCAAGTAGGCGTCCACCACACACAATTTACACCCGTGATTCATTCTAGCAACTCGCTAGCAACCATCTCGCCTTGGTCACACAAATCTCTCCCTTATTCTTTATTTTTTTCTCCCTGCTTCCAACTTCTCTTCTCTTTTCTCTTCTGTCTCCTCCTCTGTAGTCTAACTAAGGACATCCCTATATTTGTGTGCACGGTGGCGTACCCCGGCGTGCCCTGCCCCCTGCACATCTTCGAGCCTCGATACCGGCTGATGATGCGTCGCTGCATGGAGACTGGCACCAAAAAGTTTGGCATGTGCAGCTATGAGCATGGCAAGGGGTATGCAAGTTTTTTTTGTGTATTCTTTTTGTTGTTGATTTGGGTAAATACTTGTGTGTTAACTTAAGCAGCATCGAAATATTGCCAGTTTAGACGCAAGTGAGGTAAACGCATTTACATTTCCACAGGTGTGTTCAGTTATTTAGAGTATGGGTATGGGGAGACTATTTTTGAAATGTACCTCACTGTGGAACTCGCAGCAGGCGAGGTGGAGCCTGATAGGATTGTCCACCGTGCAGGAAGCACAGTGGGCAAAGTTTAGATCAGTCATAAGTGACCCTGAGTGGGTGGGAAAAAGCAGCATGGTCACCAATCTGGTGCTGGAAATGTTTGCCCTCCATCAGACATTTGCTTGTTCTGTCACTGTATTTGATCATGCCATTGCATTTTCCCAGCTGTTATGAATAAATATCCAATCGCAACTAATGGGCAAAATAATGTTTGTAAACACTCCTTTAACTCATTATATTGATTATGCAACTTTATTAAACTTTTTTGTGTAAGTAATAATAATACATTTGATTTTTAGGCGCCTTTCATGACACCCAAGGACACCGTACAATTTGTTAAAAAGAAAGAAAACGCTAATAGGCAACAGAACATGATAAAAACACAAACAGGAAATCATGGAGGAGACAGTCAAGTGGACACAAATGAAAACATATAATGGGGAGCACAGTGAGTAGGCAGATTTGAACAGGTGGGTTTTTAATTGGGATTTGAATATGGTGATTGTGTCTGACTGTCGGATGTGCGGGTGGAGGGAGTTCCAGAGTCTGGGAGCAGTGCAGCTAAAAGCCCGAGCACCCATGGTGACGAGGCGTGGGGTGGGGACGGTTAGCAGACCAGCAGAGGAGGAGCGGAGGGAGCGTACTCCTGAAGAAGGTCAGCCAGATAGGGGGGGGGGGGCAGGTTATGTAGGGCTTTGTAAGTGAGCAGTAGGTTTTTGAAGTTGATGCGGGATTGAACGGGGAGCCAGTGGAGTTGGATGAGGATGCGGGTGATGTGTTCTGAGGCCTTGGTGCCGGTGATGATCCGGGCTGCAGAGTTCTGTATGATTTTAAGTTTATTGATTACATTACATTACAAGTTACTTGTTAGACGCTTTTATCCAAAGCGACTTACATACTCAACACTGTGGACAATCCCCACAGGAGCAATTTGGGGTGAAGTGTCTTGCCCAGGGACACAACGACATGCTGACTGCAGTGGGGTTTGAACCTGTGACCCCCTGATCCCAACACCAAGGCTCTATCCACTGCGCCACACGCCTCCCATTGATGAGTTTGGTGGGAATGCCTGAGAGGATGGCGTTACAGTAGTCGATGCGGGACGTGACAAATGCATTGACCAGGACTTCAGTGTTTGATCGAGAAAGGGATGGGCGGAGTCTGGAGATGTTGCGTATGTGGAAGAAGGCAGTCCGGGTGATGTTATTTACGTGAGGTGAAAATGAGAGGGAGCTGTCCAGGATGACACCAAGGCTCTTAACTTGGCCAGAGAAGGGGATGGGGTAGCCATCAATGATGAGGTTGGAGGCAGGGGAGGGTGAGGTTTTGGAGAGGGTGGTTTTGGTGCCAACCAGCAGGGCTTCGGTTTTGCTGCCGTTGAGTTTTAGGAAGTTCCTGCTCATCCAGCTCCTGATGTCCTGGAGGCAGTTGGTGAGAGAGGTTGGGGGGAGGGCAGTGTTGGTTTGCTGGAAATGTAGTCCTGGGTATCATCGGCGTAACAGTGGAAATGGACATTATGATGATGGAGGATAGTGCCAAGGGGGAGTAGGTAGATAATAAACAGGAGTGGACCCAATACTGACTCCTGTATGCCTCATTAATAACATGTTAGTGGACCCCCCTTTAAAAAAGAAAATGCAGTTACATTTATGACATTTTTCAGATTTTAATCTAAACGTCAATGACAAGCTACTTTGCTGAGATTATACCAAAAAATATATATATAGAAATTCTTCTTCAGTAATTCTGAACCTTTTTATGTACATGACCCTGCCTGGAGAGGAACATTTTTATGACATAATATACTATGTATTATTAATCACTTACTGGTGGCACACTATACTTGATTTTCTATGACATTTGTATGACATACTGTACTATGACTTTTTAAGTACTTAATTTATTGCTTAAGATTTTTTACAACGTACTAGCCTATGATTTTAATGTTACATTTCTTAACCTTTTTTTCAACATACTACACTGTAATTATAAAATAGGATATGACTTTGACAGTTTAAATGCCATTACTACTAAAGCTTTTTATAGGACTTACAACACTTTTAATTGTTTTAATACATTTTCAATCGTAAACAATGGCTTTGACTTGACATTTTTATGATGAATCAGAAAGCATTATTTTGACAGCATCATAATTCACTATAAATGTCTTCATAATGAACTACAGATGTGGTCTTCAAAGAAAGTGTTACCTATTCTGACCTATTTTTGTTTTGATACTTCAAATTAAGGAATAAATACCAGTGAATTAATTTGAGACTTTGTGGTTGTTCCTGCTGTGCCTCAGGTTTTCAGACTTTGGCTGCATGTTGGAGATCCTCAGTCTGGAGGTGCTGCCTGATGGACGCTCCTTTGTGGACGCAGTGGGAGTCAGCAGGTTCAAGGTGCTGAGGAGAGGTCAGCGAGATGGATACAGCACCGCTGATATCGAGTACCTGGAGGACCTGAAGGTCCCAGAGATGAATTACTTAAAGCAACACGTAAAGAATATTCCCTCTGAAAATATTACAACTTGAACCTCTTCTCACTTTTCCTCCTGTCTGTGTCCTCCTTCTCGCAGGTTGAAGGCAGTGAGTTGGAGGTTCTGGAGGGTCTCCATGACAGTGTGTACCAGCAGGCTCAGGACTGGTACCAGCGCCTGGCCGTCCGCATCCGCGATCAGATCAGCAGGCAGTACGGCACCATGCCAGAGAAGGACGAGAACATTCAGGTCAGCACACATGTGGTTCTTACTGTAGATTAACATCTTATTTTCTAGCAGCATCCAGGAACCACAGAGCAATATTTACTTCTGTTTTGTCATGTTGCCCACGGCTAGAATTACATTTCATTACAGACCAGAGTAACATTACAATGTGGAGAATATTTTTGTTGTAGGACTTTTCTACCTATTTATGTCTTTGTAAGTCATTATTAACTTAGCTAAGGTTAATGCATCGATAACTTTCCAAATTCATCAAACACATGCAGTCGCTATCTAGCATGTCTACTTACCTTCTTTTAAAAATGTTATTATGTTTTATCCATGGTCCATGAATTAATTAGTGATGAAATTATATTTCAAACACGCTTCTAATAAGTAAATTGATCACCGGGAAAATAATAACTGCTTTTATTGTCAAAGCTATTAGTTATTGTTTTATGTTTATACAGTACATACCTTTCCTGCATTCAGAGCTCCCTTACTGACAGTGGTAACAAAACGCAATAAAACAGACTCTATGTTCATCGGGATATAGTTCCAGTTGAATGAAAAAACATTACAGCATGCATGATAAGATTGTGATCTGGAAGAAGAATAACTTGATGAGCTCTAGTTATCTTTAACTGACAACAGTATGTTTATTACAATACACATCTGATCAGAGAACCCTTTAGCATAGCATGTTTAACTGGACCCAGACTTTCCAAAACTTAAACAATCACATCACATATTATCACGTATAAATCCCCCACCAGGGAGGAGACTAAACAATGTGGAGACCATTCACCGTGATATTCAGAGCCTCCACATATAAAGCATGCCAAGTGTAAGGTACTCTAATGGCGCATTTCCACTACACGGCCTTGCTTGGCCTCGCTCGGTATGGCTAGGCCTCGTTAGGACTGGCTCACTTTATGGCGCATTTCCATTACAGTTTAGGAACTGGGGTAGTATCTATAGTAACGCAGTGTAGGCGGACCCGTGACGTCATCTTCAATGAGAACCCCAGAAAAACAACACAGCCGTTAGCTGTTAGCACTCAAGCTCACAGCTCCTCATATCTGTTCAGAAACTAGACAAAAAGTTAAACAAGTACACACCACAGACTGTCTGTGTCATGGCGAATACAGTCGCTGCTTTATTTATGTCTGTATAGGCCGTTGTTGTGAGTGTGGACGGTCGGAGCATATACTGCGTTAGCTTAGCCAATCTCCATTTAGAAAACACGCATTTTAAAAGGTTTTTCGCCTGCCGTCTGTCTGCAGACTTGTCAAAGCATTAATTCATGGTTTTTACTAACCGGTATCAGTATGTTGTTACTTCGGCATCATTTTGAAACGTGTATTACAATTAAATCACGGTCAAATATGTTCATCTTGTTGTAGTTGTAGCCCCCTTGCCAGCGATTCTCTCTCTAGTTTAGCATACTCAGCCCGACTCAGCCTGGTTGTTCCTGGCCCTAGAACCACGATTTTATGGGGCCAGAAAAACTGTGAATTAGGACCCACTAGCCGGTACTAGGCCAAGTGGAAACGCAACCAAAGACGGGCCGCTGACGTCACAGCTCTCTTAAACGGGGCTCCGCGCTGTAGTGGAAACGCGCCATAAGGCCTCTCAAAATGCCAAGGCACACAACATACATTCCTTCACAGTTGTGAAACCATGATTGAAAATAATTTTTAGAAATACAATTTCAAGGATTAGTTATATAATTTAGAGAAGAAAACATCACATTTAAGAAAAGAAAAAAAAGAATGCTCTCTCAGAATAAAAAAAGAAAAAACTACACAATTTTGTGTGAATTTCTTTCTTTTTTTATCAAGCGTTTTGTCAAGGAACCACATTGCTTTACTGAGCAAAATTGGTTCCTTTTTTCCCAATTTTTTAAATGTGTGACCTTAATTCTGAGTATTTTTCTAAAAGGTATTTTTTTTGTGAGTTTTTGACTTGCATTATACTTTATGCATTTATCTATGCTAAACCTGTGTCACTCTCCTCCAGGCCTCTTCCAACGGGCCGGCCTGGTGCTGGTGGCTGCTGTCCGTCCTCCAGCTGGACCCTGCCTATCAAACCACCGTCCTGTCCCTGGCCTCCCTCAAAGACCGCTTGGGACACCTCCGCCTCGTCCTGGAGTACTTTTCTCAGAGCTAGACCCCCCTTAGCTCACTGGTATTGTGACAATGATAAACCAATGAATCCATCCACACAGAGATTACAGTTGTACATTTGGCTGTTTTGAAGTTTGCATGTGTTCTATTTCTTACACCGTCTTCTTCCCCATGGGTTCAGAGTATTTCCTGAACACACGTTGTACATGGCTGACCAAAGATGCTTCTTACTTAGGTCGATCGAAGGTGGTGAATTATTATTTCTTGATCAACTAAATCAGTTTGAAAGACTAAGCACTATGTGTCACTGTTTTTTCTCTCAATTGTAAACATGAGGAACATACAGCGTCAGCCAAGCTAGGACAGTATGCTGAGCTGTTATGTGTTGCCTATTCAAATCAGACTCCTTGCATTAAAATAGCGTGGTTTGGGAATTAACATTAATAGCACACACACTTTGTAGAGATTTATAGACAATTATTTCAGGACTATGCACATCATTATCAAAGTGATTTGGTTATTAGCCATAGGGCACTGCTTGTAATTCTGATTCTTTAGTTGCATCTATTGGCCTTGGCAACCATTGACTATGGCTCATTTTATACGATTTAATAACCTTAAGAGATCCCTATTTAGTATTAGACATTGCAATACTAATTTGTAATTTCACATGAAAAGGCAATGACTGGAGGATCTTTTTTTAATAATGAGAACTGCTGCTGGGTGACTTTCAGGATTTGTCATCAAGTGCTGGGAAAAGTCTGTGAAATGATGACATTGAGGAGATCAGTGAATGGTAGGCGTGCTGTACCAGCTTTGTTTTACAGTATAAACCTGTGTGATGATGCAGCACTGTATGTATGTATGTAATAAGTAATTTTTCTCTGGAGCCATTTTCCTGATTTTCATTATCCGTTTTTTTAAATGTCATATGGTGCGGTGTCAGCATTGAACATGGCTACTGTCAGTGGTCTGGCGTGAAGCCAGGACAGAGTGTCTTGTGCAGAGATAGCTGTAACATAATGTAGTGAGTGTTTGACCAGGTGCCTGGCCCCAGCTGCATCTCCCCATCTGTGTGGCCCCTCTACCACCAGACATGGTGCCTTTGAGTGCCTGGGCTAACTCAGCAGGAGGCTACAAGTCTTACACACGTTCTATGATAGACTGTGCTTTTGTGTTTTATTTGGTGATTTTTATTTAACATAGTGCTATACATTCCATGGAATGTTGAAGCAGCAATGTGGCGTATAGTTTACAAACAAATAAGAGCTTTTAAGGAATACTTCCCCCACTAAAGGGCAATGTTAGTAGATGGTTTTTCCCACAATTCATCAAGAATGTTTTCCGGTTTTTTATTCTTTGTAGGCAGTTTTCTTCAAGAATTCAGAGAAAGTAATTGACATACAAATGGTCATTTTGGGGGTGAAGTATTCCTTTAACTGAGTGAAGCCTTGAGCTTTTTTTTACCTTGATAAATGTGCCATAGATATATCCATGTTATGTGTTTTTAAAGGAATAGTTAACTAAAAAGTGTTTATGTTTTCTTCACCATGAACTCTGAGGTTAGTCTTCATCAACCCTCATGCCTTCTGTATGGTGGATACTCTTCATGGCCAACATATCACGTTAAACAGTCTGATTTGAAAACACACTCATAGATACAGTTTGTGTGACACGGTAAATCAGCCCTGCTAGTGTGGTAAAGATATATAGTAGAATAAAATGGGTAATCGTGAGATATGCTCAGAAATATTCCACTTGGGCCAGCCAATGGAAAGACTGTTGGATAGTGGAGCAGCATTACCCACCCAATACACAGACTGACTATTGCACTCCTGGACACTTACACTACTTAAGATCAAGGAACACTGTCTCTGAAGATGGATGAATCGACCTTTGTTAATAAGCTGACGTTTTTAAAGCCATCCAAGAATGAAATTGAAGTGAAAGATTTTATGGTGCCAGATATCACAACACGTTTTTAAGCTATAATTGTTGATTTCACTGAAAAATACATCTTGCTGCTACCAGAACATTCAATGTTCTCTCACAGATAAAAAGGGATTGAGATTCTTATATAATATTTGAATGAATTGCCTTGTAAACCCTTGTGGTAACTGCATGACTACAAGCCCACAGACATTGAGGCGAATTCCTCTGCCCTATCACTTATCAGAACATTTATTGTTTTGTTTTATTTTCTGGTGCACAGCTGCAGTTTGTCACTTTTTCTCTCTTTTTCAAATCGTTCATATTTTGCGTGTCTCTTTTATTACTTGTAGATGCCAACTTTCAATGAATAAAATGGTGATCACAGTAATCCGTCTTGTTTTCCTCTGTTTAAAGGAGCACTTTATCTCTCTGTGTGCATGTTACTTCATGATAAAATGGCAATTACATTTGAAAATAAATAACTTCTAATGCTGTAAACTTAGGACAACAAGTGACCCTTTCTCCACAGCGACTCCTTCTTTATTAAAACGTTCAAACGTATCTGGGAAAGGCTGTGAAAAGTTTCAGAGATGTGTTCTTATTATGGGCTGTACTGCCTAAATAGTTTTGGAGCTAAATTAGTTATAAAGAAAATGTGGAAAATTGATCAAATGACTTATGAAAGTCAATGGCTAAAATGAAATACAATACAAATACTGTACAACATTTGATGAAAGAGTCAATAGTAATGTAGTACATCATGAATTTATAGTATAATATAGAATGACTTAAAGTACGTCATAGTAAATCACTCAAAGAGGGCATTAAAAAAAAAAAAATTCAGTCATAATATGTTATTTCTTAAAAAATATATAATACAGATGTATTTAACAAATCAATGTGAAAAAAAGGTTAACAAAGTCACAGTAAAGTATGGCATAAAATTACATTACAAATGTAATGGTATATTTTGCCATCAATCAATCAATCAATCAATCAATCAATCAATGTTTATTTATATAGCCCAATATCACAAATGTTACATTTGTCTCAGTGGACTTCACAGTTTGTACAGAATATCATTCAGTATGACAATATGACACCCTCTGTCCTTAGACCCTCACTTCGTACAAGGAAAAACTTCCAGAGAAAACCCCACAGTAAAAAACATATATATATGAAAACATATAATTTAAAAAATATAATTTAAAAAAACATTGTTTAATATGCCATAATACTGCACAATGGACACTGAGCAGTATTAATTAGAGATACATGTGTGCGCTCTGTGCTCAAATACCTCCCCATTAGTCCGATAACAAACGACCCACTGAAACAAAGCAATTTATGTCTCATTCATCAGTATTCAGTCCTCTGCCTCCAAGTCAAGAGCAGTAAATATTCTTAATGGTATTACTGTTTATTTGCTTGCCCCCTGGATGACTTTTTAAGTGTTATTATAAATAAAGCTTTTCAAAGCAAATTCTGCATTATCTTTATTTAATGTGCCTGACAGAGTGATTTGAATGTTAGGCGGCCAATTCTGTGGTCATTAAGGTGGCATTACAAGCCACGTGGAAGGGGTTAGATATATTGCAATTCCCAGCATGACAGAATTCGGTATAAAGGAGGGGTGATGGCAGTGAAACGTGTCTCACATACTGATAGAAAGACACTTGAATTTAAACAGAACATTACAGAGAACTGTGAAGTGCTGCAGCCGGGTCAAAGAAGCCTTGGGTTTACACTTGCAGCCAGAAATGAAAGCTATAAAAGATAGACTCAGTATTTTCAGTGTATGTCCAATTGGAAGAGTCAATGTCACTTTGACTGTATTGCAACCGAGAAGTTGGTTATGGATATGATCATAATGTTTTGTATTTTCCTTCATTTGCGACAGATTTCAAATATAGTCTTTTAGATGTGTAATTGTTGAGATTTATACCAATGAATATATTCTAAAGGGAGCCAATTCAGAGAGTCATCCTCACTCCAACAAAATAACACATTTGAAAAACCTTCCTCACATATAAAAAACAATGCAGACACATGCTACAAAGTTAGCTTCCACCAGGGGGCAGTCTGAAGCTGTGGAAGGAGTGCTACACAGATGGAATCATACTTTATAAACAAGGAGACATCTCATAAGAGTAAGGCCTTGTTTTATAATCATAAAGGCTCAATATGATCATGTGAGTGTCACAAATAGGGTCACAAGTTTGGCTGGCAGGCAGAACCAATCGTATGAAACAAGATAGAGGAAAGTAGTTATTTCACATGCATCTGAAAGAAAAACATAAATTAATGCAAGTAAAATGAGGATGTGTGAGTGTAGGTGTGCACGCTGTGAACCGCATGGCTCTAAGCACAAGAAGAAGAATAATAATAATAAAACACAGCATAGCAGAAGTGAGGCACGTTTCCTGCCAGCGTCCTCTGCATAGGAAGCAGGCAGATGAAAAGAGGTTTCAGTGGCTTCAGCAGGGCTCTGTAATGCAGCTCAGCGTCTACATCAAAGCCCATTACATTTGAAGAATGCCACAGCTTTTCTGTACTAAATTGATCCATCGGCTTGCGCTGACTCCCTGCTTGTGTATGACTGAGTAAGGATGACAGGCGTTTTGTAGGAGTTATCGCAAAGGGGGAACCGGCTGTGGCTGTGTGTGCGTGCACTTGTACTTGTACTGTTAAGAGGACCAAATTCCCCCACATGGATAGAAAATCTTCTGCAGGATGGATATATGTTTCTGGTTTCGAATTAAGGTTTAGGACTAAAGTTGAAATGTATGTTTATGTAAAGGTCAAGGAGTCATGCAAGAGAAGACAATGGATTCAGTCCTGAAAAGCATCTGAATACAAACAAGTGTATGGGAATCTTTTGTAATGATCCCTCATAATAATGGAAGAACTCACTGGGGTCTCTCCACTAAAATAGACTTGTATAACAGTGGGAGAGCCATGGAGAACATCAGAGGATGAATGCAGCTCTGTTGTCATAGGGACAAAACCCAGCCTGTCAAAGCTTGATGTGAAGAGCAGAAGTATCAATTATGAAATGGAGAAACTTTGTCTTTGAAGTGAAAAGCATTTTGTTTACCTTACAAATCCTGTAAGACAACATGCAGGGAGCTAATTCCCGCAGATATGAGGAAAGGTGAATTAAAATAGGAAGTATTGAAGTGAAAGGGAGAGGGAGATAGTGGGAAAGAGCTCAGGTTGCCAAATATACGTGTGTATTCGTGTGTGTGTTTTTTGTAGTGCTCCATGGCCCTCTTCTTTGGAGGGTTGCAGTTTTTCATGTGTGTGTGTTCTCCTGTGGATGTGAGGCTGATAAACCTTGCTTGTTTCTGTCTTTGTATAATCCCCTTGACTGTCAACAAGATGATAAACCCATACGCTCTTGTGTGACAGTGCCTCTGAGAGCCAAGGTAAACATATTGGCCACCTACTTCTGTTAGCACCATGGGACACTTAAATATAAATGCTTTGCTATAAAACACACAGTCATCCAAATAAATAAAAGCCCAGGAAGTCTTTCCTTACAAAGATGAAACTTGTTGGTTCAAGCCTTAAACTTTTGATTTGTGAGGCGGATGAAAGAATTTGACCTTCCACATTTTATGATTGACAGTTTACCACCTCAAAAAAAATGGATGAGAAATCTCTTTGCCACTCTACAAAGAAGGCAGCACTGGCACAGATGGGGTTTGAGGAGGAATAAAAAACCTGGCAATCCTTTTATATTCTGGTGATTGCATAACAAAAAATACTCAAAACAAATGAAGCAGATAGGGATCGCCTGCTGGGAGATGAAGGACAGGAGAAACAGGAAGCGGGGTGACGCTGCAGGAGATACGATGTCACACACAACTTGCTCACTGATACATATAGTTACTGCCTGCTGAGACACACACCTGGCTGTGAGCTGCTTTCTTCACAGTTGTGTAAAGCGGACTGTGTGTGCAAGGACACAGAAAGACTGACATAAATATAATATTCAGCAGTCCTTCCGAGAGCCAGTTTTAAACAAGTCATGTGAGCTTGTCTGCATTCTTGACTCACCGTCGGGATGGTGTATTGTTCAAACGATATATGTTTGAAGGTTTTGTGTTTATGTGTGTTGGATGTCAGCTGCATACTCCAAGCTAAATTCAATGTGTTTGCAAAGACAAAAGTTTTGTGACCACAAATAGCACCCAATTTGGCTTGCACTCACTGTTGTGCACAAAGACAAATTGGTTGCTATTTGTGGTCACAAAAACAACATGTCACCTGATTTGTCTTTGTTTTGTTGTTTTATTGATTTGTGATGTATCTATTTCGATTATTTCCTAAGAATGAAACCTCACTGACCCACTTATGGATGAGTCATTGCAAATAAATGTTCTCCAGCTAAATATTGTTCAACCTTACATTTCTTCAATAGGTGACAAATATTCTTTCAGGCTGACTTTTGGGAACATAAATGTCTATACAATTATGCAAAAATATATCTAAAACAAGATGTTACAGAATATATATGAGACTGTCAGATGATGAGATTATTATTCTATAACATTGAAGCTAAAGAATTGTCAGCCAACTTTACCTGCCCTTTAGCTAGCGAGCTAACACATTTAGGAACTTTCCCGAAGTGCTTTAGTTTTACAATTTACAAACTTTACTGTTTTAGTTCAGTCCAACCAAATGAACCTTAACCATGTTTCCTGATTTAGCTGACAACCTTTTGTAATGTCAAACAGTCTGTACGCTACCTGCTCAGCACCGAATGGCAGAGGCAAAACGTTAGCGACTAGCTTATTGTAGCAGCATCTGAACAGCCAGTGTTAATTAAGCCAGTTAATAATTGATTTACAATTATCAAGTAGTAAGAAAAACGACTTCAAATGATTGCTGATAGTGCTCTGGGTACCACTTTACAATAAGACTACCCTTATAAAGGGTCTACGAATAGTTTGTAATTCATTTATTAATTAGGTTGTGAACACTTTATAAATCATTAATAAACTTTTATGAGACATGAGATAAACAGGGCAACTGTGACCGGTTGCTTGCCAAATAGTGAGCCCACATTTATCTGTACTGCTAAGCCTTATATTGGCTACTTAGCTTACTTCAACTTCTTCATCAGCCAGCATCCTTGGTATCTGTTGTTCACTGAGTTGATTCCCCCCCTTCCATCTTGATGTTTCTTGGCATCTCTTATGACCATTTATGAATGAGTTACTAACATTTATAACTGCCAAAAAGGAGCCTTATTGTAAAGTGTAAAACAAATCACCATTTATTAATGAGTTACTAACATTTATAACTGCCAAAAGGGAGCCTTATTGTAAAGTGTGACACACATCACCATTTATTAATGAGTTACTACCATTTATAATTGAT